AGAAATTCCGATCAATTCGGATTACATTTTTTTAAATCCGTTTTAATCGACCATTTTCGGCAGGGGTGGAACGCGCCCTATGTTGATCCCATAATGAATCCTACGTGCAAACTAACCGCAACCGGCGTACCATAAGTGAGAAAAAAGTATATTTGTCAAGCGACGCGGTAGCGTCCCGACGCCAAGTAATGTTATTTTCTAAAAAAGAACATTTTAAATATCTCTGAGACATTTTTGATTACAAATGGGCAGCTGCGGGACCAACATGGCGATCATGGGAAGCATGGAGGGGGTAACGATGTCGCTTCTCTGATTATATAGGACTCTACTCGTGAGCAGGTAGAGCACAGTAAACTGAACAGAAAAATCCTGTAACATTTTTTCCTATAACGCTTAATAAATGAGTTATTATTAAGTAAAGTCTGGCCAATCAATGTTGACCTTTAGCCGCGCGCCTGATGCGTCGTTTACAATGGTAGTAGGCAGTACAGAGTGAGGAATAAGATTTTAAAGTTGGTTTTAAGAGCAAATGGGAATTGCACATTTCGTTACTCTCGGTCTTTACATCACTAAAAACAGTATACTCTCCTACTCCTACAGCCTTGTTACTGCCATTGTAGACGGCCCTTAAGAGTTGGTTTTAAGAGCAAATGGGAATTGCCCATTTCGTTACTCCCGGTCTTTATGCCACTAAAAACAATATACTCTCCTACTCCTAAAATTAATTTTTGATTTTGATTGATTTGTCCCATTATTCTGTACATAAAAGTATTACGGTAAGATTATCGAAAACTAAATATTTTACGAGATATTTTATCTTTTATATCAAAATATGTCAGATTAAGATATAAAATAAGAAAGGTACAAATTTATTTGTTAGCAAATATAATATAGCGTTTACATATTTATAATATATGTGTTAAGTTGTGTCTCTATAGAATACTTTAAATAAGTTTATTTCAGTTTTGTTAGTTAACTTTTAGAGTAGTTTGAATAAGTTTATTTCAGTTTTGGTCGTTAACTTTTAGAATAATTTGAATAAGTTTATATTAGTTTTTGTTCGTGAACTTCTATAAAAACGGAAAAAATGTAATGTTATGCGTGCAATTTAACTTAATTGTACATACGAGCTTATGTAATTTGCTAAATTGCTAAGCTCTGATTAAAAAGCTGTGACATTTGTAAGTTGCTAACAATAAACTGTGATTAAAAACTGTAACATTGATTGAAAAGAACATGATTAAAAAGAGATTAAATACAATGTTATGTGAAATAATTTGTTTCCTCTTTTTTTACATTCATACATTGACTAAATTTTTACATTTATACTTTAATTAAATTTTGAAAGTGATATATAACGAAATATTTTAATTAAAAAGTTGCAAATGCTGTGTTCTCTCTTTATTTTGTTCGTGAACTTCTATAGAAACGGAAAAAATGTAATGTTATGCGTGCAATTTAACTTAAATTATAAATATAAGCTTATGTAATTTGCTAAATCGCTAAGCTCTGATTAAAAAGCTGTGACATTTGTAAGTTGCTAACAATAAACCGTGATTAAAAACTGTGACATTGATTGAAAAGAACATGATTAAAAAGAGATTAAATACAATGTTATGTGAAATAATTTGTTTCCTCTCTTTTTACATTTATACATTGATTAAATTTTTACATTTATACTTTAACTAAATTTTGAAAGTGATATATAACGAAATATTTTAATTAAAAAATTGCAAATGCTTGTGTTCTCTCTTTATACTAAATAGAAAAAAATGCTCTGTATTTTTTAAATTAGTATTGAAAAACTAATTATACAAATTAAACGTTATATTTTTACTAAATAAATAGAAAAGATGCTGCAAATAATGTAGAGAGAAATATTTTTAACATTTTTTACTTAAAATATTAACTAATTGTAAATAATTCGTTTTACATTATTAGTTATAATATATTGAACAGTAAAAACATATAATGTTTTGAATTTGCTGACTCTGAGTTGAATCGAGAGTGCTTTCTGTTTTTTCTGTTTATTATAAGGAAAAAAGAGTACTCGACTCTCTCCTGAAACGGAGTTAGCAAACCGAATACATTAATTACTTGATTTCACTTTTAGAATCTTTCCCTTCAGACGTCTAAGAAATGTCCATAACATGTCCTAGAGAAATCCTCAAGACATCCTGAGGCTGTCTGACAGGATATCCTCTGGATGTCTTAAGAACTAGTATTCAGCTCTCCTTTGCTCTTCCGCAGGACATCCTGAGTATATCCCGGGATAAAAATAGGATATCCGTAATGTCCGTCCTGGATGTCCTTTGGATTTCCCGAGGATGTCATTGTGCTGTCTGGGTACATTAAGAGTATGTTATTGAAGTCATTTAGAGTTGAAAATTAATAAACATATGTCCGTAAATGCTTCCTAACAGAACTACAATCATTGAAAGTTGATGTGAATATTTGAAAAAGGAAAGAAAGACATTTTATTTAACTAGCTTATTTAAAAAATTCTGTTCAAAATTACTAAAGACATCCTGAGGCTGTCTGACAGGATATCCTCTGGATGTCTTAAGAACTAGTATTCAGCTCTCATTTGTTCTTCCTCAGGACATCCTGAGTATATCCCGGGATAAAAATAGGATATCCGTAATGTCCGTCCTGGATGTCCTTTGGATTTCCCGAGGATGTCATTGTGCTGTCTGGGTACATTAAGAGTATGTTATTGAAGTCATTTAGAGTTGAAAATTAATAAACATATGTCCGTAAATGCTTCCTAACAGAACTACAATCATTGAAAGTTGATGTGAATATTTGAAAAAGGAAAGAAAGACATTTTATTTAACTAGCTTATTTAAAAAATTCTGTTCAAAATTATGTGTCTTTCATTTCCATTGTAATAACCATACATGTAATGAATATCGGCATATTCTTTGAAAACACTATTTTACTAATTTGAAAAGAAAATGTAAACAATACCAGATTGACAGAAAATATAAACAATACCAGACTGACAGAAAATGTAAACAATACCAGACCGACAGAAAATGTAAACAATACCAGATTGACAGAAAATATAAACAATACCAGACTGACAGAAAATGTAAACAATACCAGACTGATAGAAAATGTTTCAAATATTCAACTATCAATGGTTGTAGTTCTGTTAGGAAGCATTTACGGACATATGTTTATTAAACAATTTCAACTCTAAATGATTTCAATAACACGCCGTTAATGTATGGACTTCGAGTCATGGGACACCCTGTATATATACGTAAAATTCATTAGCGCTCTATAATTTGAAATATGTAGGAATTGAGATAAGTGTGCAACATTGCATTTTTCTATCTCTTTCTCGTTCGCTTTATATATAAAAAATAAATATGATCCTGAAATATATGTACAACAAAAGTGAAATTACAATAATACACATAATACACACATGTATTCTAAAATATTTATTTCATTATATCCTTTATGCCAGTCAATTTAGTACTTATATCCCATAAACGAAGTGCTACTTCAGAGTCTAAATCCTTTTTAGAGATATAAAGTTTGCAATCGCGATATAGATGTCCACTTTCTTTGCTCAATGACGATTCCGTTGCGCAATGTAATACTGTTTGCGCACCCTGCAAATATCGATTCATAATAAAAAAGTTTTAAACATTTCAATATATTGAAATATATATCAGGTTCATGATCAAAATCATTTCCTAATAAATGAACATTTTTTTTTAAGAAAAATTAAAAGTATCAAATATGTTTACCTGATTTGCAGTGCGTAGAAACATGAGAGCAACAGGTGAAAAAATAATATAGTGAAACCAGCTTCTCTTCACGTTCCTAAATAAACCAGTGTAGGTAAATCCAGGACATACCATATAGACATTAACACCAATATTTTCCGTTCGTTTTGCAAGTTCAGCAGCAAAATATGCATTAGCAAGTTTTGAATTATAATAGCCAGGATTCATCCTACTTTTCGCTGACAATCCTTTCTCACTGTTTAAATTTGAAAAGTCTATTACTCCAGATTCCAGAAGCTTAGACGTTACTACCACTATTCTGTAACGAAAAAAAAAAATATCGTATTAGTATCGTTTTATCATTCCGAAATATTGCTTTAGAGTCACCTGCTGGGAGCGCTTTGCTTCAGGCGATCCAAAAGTAAATTGGTAAGCAGAAAATGGCCCAAATGATTTACTCCAAAATGAATTTCGAAACCATCTTTTGTTAATGCATGATCTTTGAGCGGCGCATATACACCGGCATTATTAATCAATACATGAATATGAGGAAAATCTTTTAGCACTTTATCGGCAAATTTTCTGATGGATGAGAAAGATGCAAGATCCAGCTCCATTGGAATCTATGTAATTAAAGAGATATGTATTAAAAGTGTGTGTTTGTACATGTGTGTGTATTAAAATAATGAAAATATAAAAAATTGGAAACATTTAGAAATCAAATTTTAAAATTAAACATTTACTAATGTATATTTATTAATAATAAAGGAAAATTTTTTTATTAATGAAGCATGATTACCAATTCGCCGGTAGATATTTTACTCCGTATTTCAACTATGACATTCTTTGCATTCTGTATGTCCCTACAAGCCATGATGATTGTAGCTTTCCGTTTAGCCAATTCTTTTACTGTCTCTTTACCAATGCCAGAATTCGCACCCGTCACGAGAAATACCTGGCCTTGCAGATTGCTCGTACTTTTACATCTTCCCCAAATGCGTTCGCGACACTTGCGGAGCAAGCCGATGAGCAAGACCATCGGTAAAATAAAGTAACACCACGAAGATACCATATCGATGATGGCTTTAACTTTGAAACATGAGAAAGAGGTTTCTCCGCGAGAGAGTGCAGCCAGAGAGAAGCCTAAGAGAGGCAATGCCGGCGATTTTCGTGGGACGCTTTTTCTAGGCCGTAGAGCAGCGCCGTGCATCCACTTTTAGGAATTGGAAACACTTACCCACATCCACTTTTCGGTAC